AAGAGAAGGCTCCTGAAGGGGACACCTTAGAGCAGCTCCAGTGTCTAAAGGGGCTACAAGAAACCTGGAGAGGGGCTTTGGACAAGGGCCTGTAGGGACAGGACAAGGGGAATGGCTTTAACCTGCCAGAGGGGAGATTGTGATGAGCTCTGAGGCAGAAGCTCTTCCCTGTGAGGGTGCTGAGGCGCTGGCACAGGGTGCCCAGAGAAGCTGTGGCTGCCCCATCCCTGGCAGTGTTCAAGGCCAGGTTGGACACAGGGGCTTGGAGCAACCTGCTCTAGTGGAACGTGTCCCTGCCCGTGGCAGGGGTTGGAGCTGGATGAGCTTTAAGGTCCATTCAGCCCAAACCATTCTGTGGTTCTGTGATATGATTCCATTTCACTGTTGCATAAATGTACAGAAAATACTCGTTGTGTTCCTAAAGTGCCAGCTGCAGCAGAAAAAAAGTCTTTCCAAAAGGGATTCTATCTCTTACAAGAGGAAAAATCTGAACTGCCCCAAAAGCTTTTTTTCCTGTGGCATGCAGGCTGGTACAACACTTCCTCCTCTCTCCAGCCCAGGTACTATCCCACCGAGGATGTTCCTCGCAAGCTTTTGAGTCATGGCAAGAAGCCCTTCAGCCAGCACAAGAGGCGGCTGAGGGCCACCATCACTCCAGGGACTGTTCTGATCCTGCTGACTGGTCGTCACAGAGGGAAGGTAAGCCAGAGCTTCGTCCTGCTCACTCTCAGTGGCTTTTGCATCATTTCTGTGCTGAACCTGTTGTGGCTGAGCAGAGGCATCTTAAATTCACCAGCTGATTTCACGGGATGCTGCTCAGCCACTAGACATGAACCTGCAGATCTGTTGTGAATTTTGTCTTGGTGCTTTTTCTCATCCTGCCTTTAAGGGAAACAGTTGTTAAACTAATGTTGTTCCATACAGAGCTGGAAGTAAAACAGGCTAGCCCAGTGGATTAGACAAATGACAGGAGTTCTGCTGAGTAGCAGAGAAGTGTGCAGGCTCATGGTGCACTAAACTGGCATCCTTTATTTTCTGGAATTCTTTGGCTTTGAAAAGAAGGCTGTTTGGAGATGGAAAACTTGACCAGAAAGAACAAAATGCAACTGGGGGATGGCTCTGACCATGGGGTACGTTGCGGTGCCTTTCTGGTTTTTACGTAGTTCCTGCCTTTAACTTGTACCAAGGATTAGGCTGACAGGATGTCTGCTGTCTTGTAGAATAGGCCAAGGTTCATAAACATACTCACTGGCTTTGCTCAGCATTGACTGATGAAGAGGGTGAAGAGTCAGGATCTGTTGTAGGTGAGGTATGTCTGGCAGTGCTGTGCTCTGGGCAGTGTTGGTAGCTCAGCTTGCAGAATGGTTGCATCTCTGGGTGGGTTGTTGATGCTTGTACCAGTGACAGGGCCGGGTGTGGGCACGGTCCCTGTTCAGCTGCAGTATTTCAGAGCCGGGGCCTGATGTCGTGTCTCATCTCTTTGCAGCGTGTCGTCTTCTTGAAGCAGCTCGATACTGGCCTTTTGCTTGTTACAGGTAAAAAACTTCTACCTAAGTGCGATGATGATGAGGTTTTGTTTGTTTGTGCATTTGGGTTGTTTCGGTGTTTTGGTTTTTAAGCGGCAGTTTGTCTCTGTGGTCAGTAGCGCACAGATCTGCATATGGGTTGTCTGGCTCATCGTGTGTTCGCTTAACTACATGGAACCACGTTTTGTGACCTTTCAGGGGGTGGAGGGGAGATAATGAAGCTTCTGGAAAAGATGAGGAAGCGTTATCTGGCTTCTCTAGAGGCTGTGTGAGAGGCTTTGTTGATAGCTTGGTATTAGTTGTAGGTATCTCTGAAGAAACAGGCATGAAATTTAACATACAAGCAGCGGTTGTTGCCAGGAAAGCTGACCTTGGTCTCTCTTATGTTGTTCCTCTGCCTTTAGGACCCTTGGTTGTCAATCGTGTCCCTCTGCGTAGGGCCCATCAGAAATTTGTTATTGCTACATCTACAAAGGTGGATATCTCTGGAGTAAAAATTCCCAAGCATCTCACTGATGCATATTTCAAGAAGAAGAGGCTGCGGAAGCCCAAGCACCAGGAAGGCGAGATCTTTGACACTGAGAAAGAAGTAAGGAACATGATTGTTTCTTCTTTCCAAGTGCCCTTGTTAGGTAAAGCCAGGCTGGAAGGGGGAAATCCCGTTAAACAAATGGACAATGGAATTTTAAGTGGCCCTCAGTAAGCAGGATAATGCCATTAAAATAAATTAATCTGGCAGCATTGAGATAAACCCCTTTTAAACTTGGAGATTCTTTCCTGCTTGTACCTGAGCAGAACAGCAGCAGTGGTAATTCCAGGTAAAGATCTTTTTTGACAGAGAAACAACTTCAGTGTTTGTGGACAGTGTGTTGCTGCCTCCAATATCAGCAGTGTGAGCCAAAGAGTGGCTCCGGTTCTCCCTATCACCTCTGGTCTCTTGCTGCCTTATTTAGAACAAATAGAGAGACAAGATTCCTTGACAGTGCCAGAACTGGGGGGTTGCCCTGAATTTTCTTATTCCTCGGAAGGGTCTGCAGGATTTTAACATTGTTCTTTGTACTTTCTAGAAATACGAGATAACGGAGCAGCGCAAGTCGGACCAGAAGGCGGTGGATTCCCAGATCCTGGCGCGAATCAAGAAGGTGCCTCAGCTCCGTGGGTACCTGCGTTCCACATTCTGTCTCTCAAATGGAGTCTATCCTCACAAATTGGTGTTCTAACTGCCCTGAAAGCACCACATTAAATCTGAAGGAAAAACCAGGATCTCTGCTGTCTTCTTCTAGTCTGCTGACTAGAATTTAGAGCGGTGAAGGTTTTAGTTGGTTTTGGTTTGTAGTTGTTGGGGCTTTTTAATACTAGTATAAACAGGAATTCAGCTTTCTTAACTGAATAAATTGGGGAGGTAGAAATGGGCAAAGTAAAAACAATAGATCTTGTTTTGGACAGTGGATGAAGTACTGGCTTGACACCCATCCCATTGCAGAATAAAATCCAGCCTGGTGTCTGTGCTGGTGGATTTCTCTGCACCCTTCATGTGCCGAAACCAGTGCTTTTTGGGTATCTGTTGTGAAGAAGCAGGTCTTGGTGACAAACCACTGCTGGGTGATAACTCCTGAGCAGGGGGTGTACAGTGGGGTTGAGAGGAACAGCTTTGATCCATCAGTCACCACATAAACCTCTGCAAATACAGCAACTTCTTAGAGCTCGGCCTTGCAGTTTAAAGTGGAAACACTGGGGATATATGGAGGGTAATGTACCATCCCCAGAACCAGAGCAAAATTTGGAATGTCCCTTCCCAAATCCCATCTTTATTTCCTATTCTTTGTTTATCCATGTGGGATGTAACACTTTTAGTCAGGAAGAATACTACCTGCTTTGATCAAAAAGTAAAAGCATCATTCCCAATTCCATAGGCTCAGAAATGAGTTAAATTCCAGAAGCTATTTCTTGGAAATTATTTTCCTATCTGGGTAACTTCCAGAGTCTCAACAAATATTCTGTCTCAAAACCTGGCAGGAAGGAGATGAGGAGGTTGTGCGTGGTTTCTTTATCTGTTGAGGTCAGTCACCAGATACTGGAAAAAGGATGCTCGGGCAGCAATAGCTCTGCTCTTACAAGGACTGAGGATGTACAGACTAACAGATCTGGCACGCTTCAGCTCTTCCTTAGCCAGCCTTAGACAGGAACCGAGGCTTATGTAATGGCACCATCTGTCTTCCTATTAATTCTTAGCTGAAAGTAGCCAGGGGGGTCAGACTTGACAGGGAGTAAAGATTCCATCAAATCCATGCCAGCTTTGAGAAAAGGGAGTAACAGAACCTCAGCAAGGTGGGGGCCTCAATGTCACACACCAGCCACGCTCACTGGAGAGGACAAATCAGAATTCAAGTACTCCAGAGCTGCTGAGGAAGCTCCCACACCTGCAGAATACCGGGCTCAGTGGGTTCCCGCACCAAGGGGCTACAGGCATCTTCAGAGCTGATGCTGGCTGGTGGTGCAGAGTTCAGAGGTGTTTAACAGTGGCC